AAAAAAATCAACTGGGCAATTTCGTGCGAAAGATCTAGAAAATAATCGTAAAAACTGATTGAGAAAACATGTTTAATATTTCTATTCATTGAGTACAGGCGCAGTTGGTGTTGTGTGTTTTCTTGATGATTGTCCAGTTTCCTCCAACTTTTTTTGGTAACAGCGTCAAATCGATCACTAACAGTGGGTTTTCACATATTCATTAAAAGCTGCTCTCTTTAGTAGAGCCGCGGTGTATGCAATCCATGGACCGTAATTGATATGATTAGAGTACTGGAGGAGAGACTTAGGACTCAAAGAAGAGCGAAAAACATCTGTTGGAACAAACTTCCTTTTGGCGAGCATGATAGTGTTTCTCTCTATAGCTTGAGCACTCCCGGACCGCTCGTCGCTTCCTGAGTCCGACTCGAAAAGACAGCTTAAATCAGAGAGGCTGCTAATCTCGAAAAGAGTTATGGCAAAGTTTGAATAAGACCTGGCAGTTATAATCATTTATTGTATTTCATCCATGAATATATGTTATTTAACTGACTGGGGGCAATATTGAGGAGTGTGGTATTTTCATTTGGCAGTTTCATAAGCCCAAAGGGACCAAACAACCCAGTGGGACGGAGTAAATTAATATTATAATAAATCAACTGCAAAAAAGCTGTATTTTTATTTAAAATAACACTGGGCGTTTTACTTACAAATAGTTGTATCAACAACCTTGGAGCTGAAGCATGACAATACTGTATTCTTTTGCGGCGAAATTACACATTCATTTTGTCAGTAAGGATAGAAACCGGCTAATCTCCTTTAAAAATTTTTCTTGTTACCAAACAATAATAAATTGGTTCAAAGGTTCCCGACGTGAGCGCTAGCCATATAAAATAATTAAACCAAGGACATATGCCTTTGAATCTCAGTCAATCAAAGGGCTCAAAGTTCTCGAGTACTGAAAACTTGCACAGTTTTTCATTTTGGATTCTGTCCTTGGATTGGAACCAAGCTTTTAGTCAGGATTTGAAAAGTGTGCGTCCAAAATGTGCTATATATAGGGCCTGCTCCAATGAACAATTTACAAGGCAAAATGAGAAAATTAAAACTGAATTTTCTGTCAATTAAAACGTGAGCGTCCTTGAGAGGTCTGCATACCCGTCTGGCTTAAAATCTGATTGGAAGTGGAGCTACAGTGGCTTCCAAAACATACCGGGCTTAACAATGACAATTTTAAAATTATTTTACCGTTTTTAATCACGGAATACATCATATGAAATGTGTCATAGCATTTCAAAAGAAAGAAAAAATAATCAAAATTATGAGCATAAAAGCCTCAATATTTTCGAGAGCAAACGATCTTTTTATTTTTTTTTAATTCCCAAAAGGTACAACGAGCACTCCTCTGCACCCCCCCATCCCCCGCCCCCCACTGCCACAGTCATATGGAAAGCTACTAGAGCCTAGAGGCCACAAAAGGATCCAAGGATTAGGTTACAGGTGACGCATATTACACATTGTCAACTCATGGTAAACTCGGAGGTAAATTCTTGTCTGGGTAATTGTTTTTAGGTACAGAGTAAAATTAAATTATCAGCTGAAACGTGTACCAGCTCTTCCTGTTTTCAAAAATTAAATAATTCTTTTCTGGTTTGAAATAAAAAGGTGTATTGCCTGTGGCAGTATAAGAAACTGAATCAATTGTGGAATTTTGCGTGAAAGCTCCAAAAAAAAATAATAATAATAATTATGAAGCTGATCGACAAAACCTGTTTAGCATTTACTTTCATTAACTACAGGCCTAGTTTTGTGTTTTCGGTGTACTTGATAAATTTCTGACGATGTTATTTGGTTTCAGTGTCCTTTCACTGAAAATGTCAATGCAAGCTGCTCTCTGAAGTCATTTGTAGCTGCAATCCCTCGACTTAATTTGACCATAGACAATGTCAATGCAAGCTGCTCTAGTCTCTAATAATCATTTTGACAGTCGAGTAGCTATAGGAGAGATTTGACTCTAAAGGGACAGCGGAAAACATCTGTTAACACAAACACTAAGAGCATTTATCCGACAGCAATTAAACAAAAAAAGGTTCTTTTGACCTGCAGGGGAGTATATTTCTCTACACCTTTTGTAATGCGCTGGTCGCTTTCTTAGTGTTTTACAACAAAACACTACACGGCTGGGTTTCTTATCTGTTTTGCAATAGAGCACCAGTACTTTAATTTTCTTCAATAGTTCCGCTTCGGTGTGTTGTGTCAGGGTCTTTTCAAGCGCTTGATTGTTGTTTCCGAGTACAAACTGCTGGCGGTGGTCATAAAAAAAACTGTTTCTGTTGTTTTAGCCTGTGTCACAGTCGCCTCTCCCCGGAAAAAAAAAATCGGAGAGTCTCTCTCCGATTTTTTTTTTTTTTCGGGGAGAGCCGGCTGTGACACAAGCTATTGTGGTTTCAACGTTTGAATTTTTTTTCTTGTTTTGCTTTTCACATATTTATCAAGAGAATTTTTTTAATTTCATTATTTAAATAAGTTCTTAATTACTAATTTATCACTTCATTTATATTTTTTCTTTATATTTTTTGAATTTACTCTTTTTCGGTCGTTGCGAGGATTCCTAACATTCCGGGTATTCCGGGTACTCCGGTTCCGGTTCCAAATTCCAGAATTTCTTGTTTTCCAATGCCCATGTGCTCGTATCACGTGAGAAGAGATTACGTTATATAAAATTAATGAAGTGTTACATATAGTAGGTTCGCCGGCACGAACGGACGGAAATGTCAGCTGAAGTAAAAGAGGGAGCGAAGCCAGGATCTAGAGCTGTCAAAGTAACAGCTAAGAAACACAGATGGTATCTCGGTGGCATCGCTTCGGCTATGGCGGCTGCCTGTACCCACCCGTTGGATCTGCTAAAGGTAGGCGCGTTGTCTTGAGTAAGCTGGTTGAAAGCTACAGCCTTTCCCCCAGTTTAATGTCTAACGCACAAGATAGGCTTAATTAACTGTGTTTTTAGGTTGTAAATAAGCCATAAATTTTCTCGCTTTATGACTTATGTAAGAAATGATCGAACAAGCCGGCATGATTTCCGCCTAGCTTTATGCTTCGTGTAAGCGTAATTATGCGTGAGGGTAACTCTCTCCCGGGGGGGAATCCTACATAAAAAAAGGACAGGGGTGCTCATCGTACCTTTTAGGAGCTAAAAAAACAGTTTTGGTACCTCTTAGGATGTTCAGCCTCAAACAGTCCACAGCAGGAGCTTTTGCAGCACCTTTTAGGGTATTGAGCTTAAAAATATGACAGGAAATAATATTTTGTGTTATAACTGATACCCCTTAGGGGTGAAAAAATTTCAAGCTACACCCACGAGACAGGATCCTGGCACCTCTTAGGGGTTATTTTCAAAATTTCCGATGATCACCCCTGTCTTTTTTATATGAGAGTCTCTCTCTAATTGTTAGGCCAGACTCAGGTAAGGCTATAAAAATCTGCATCAAATGACCCAAGTTTGAGCCCTGCCCAGGGTCATATTTTAAATTGCATTCTTTGATGAGACATTTTACTCCTCACTTAGTGTTAGAAGGCAGCCCTGCAATGGACTAACATCCAATCCAGGGGTGGTAGCAATTTTCCTTGGCTAGCTGTTTCATGCTACAGAAACTGGAGCCAAGGCTTTGGAGGCTTTCATGTTTAGTAGTAGCATGCGAGATGTTTCACTCATATTTAATCGGTCTCTTGTAGGTTCATCTGCAAACTCAGCAGCAGGTTACACAGAGGTTGTCATCCATGGCTGTTCATGTAGTACGGACACAAGGTGTTCTGGCCCTCTACAATGGACTATCTGCTTCTCTCACGAGACAGGTAATGCACTTGTTGCTTAACAAAGGTGTGCCACATTATATTTAAAAGCTGTTTATGAAAAAAAAAATATATAACTAGTCGGCGAAAAAATACTGATCTCTAGAAGTTGGTGACGTGATCGTAAATTGAAAGGTGTATGGAATGGCATGCAAATTAAAATAATGTCAATCTTTGGATCTGAATGTCTGCTCAGAATCCTGTAAATTGTAGTCAAGAGCTTTCTGCAATGAAGCAAGCAAATTAATTAGCAGTCTGTGTGGAGTCAATAATAACATGTCAAATATTTCAAGAAATTAAATAATTTTAAAGAAAATGGACAACTATGAAAATCATCTGTGAGGCCTTTTTTCCTACTTTCGCAAAGACAGAGAGAGAGATGATGATGATGACGATGACAATCATTTGAATTTAAGATCTGACAACATTATGACCAGGCCATGATTTTGCTAGTGGGACATTTCAGGATCAGCTAGCCAGGAGGGTGCAAAGGGTGTGTTTACACCCTCCCCCCACAGGCTTAGGGGGTCTGCATTTTTGTACTGAAGGTTGAACATCAAGAGTGCACTCAGTTAAAGTGAAGAATGCTCAGATAGTGGATCTTTAACAGTTTAAAACTTTGACAGTTAACCAAACCAAAACAAGTTGGAAATGGCAGTAATGATTACATGTACACTTGACTATTCATTCACTTGACTGTATTAGAAAATAAAACCAACTGTTCTCTAATTACCAGAGCCATTGAACTTCTACTCTCATTAATTTTTTTTTTTTCATGAGCTTGAAAATGTCCGAGTATGTCCATATTGAATTAATTAACATTATGTGCTGCACATGGCTTTGTGTAAGAGTTTAGACAAGTGAGCCAATGAGAACTGAAGGGAGCATATTCTTGTGGTTCTTGTCAGACATCTCTCCTGATGAGGTGTTGTTATATTCTTTTTACATGAGGACAAGTGCAGGTTTTCAATTGTTTTAGTTTGTGTTTTCATGGTATGGTAGGAGAGAACAAGAGAATTAAGCTGCAGCTAAGTCTTGCAAGCCTTTTCATGATACATGGGTCCATATGGTTGCAACTACATGTATATCCTAAATAAAATTATGGCTCAGACAGGGAATAAGTGCATTTCGATAGTTTGGTCCACTTTGTCCTTGGATACAGCCTCCTACACTCAAAATCCCGGCTTTGGGCCTACATTTGGTATCTAGAATAGCACTCTAATAACACATGTATAATATTCTCTATTGCCTCTAATGAAATGCTACAAATTAGACTAGGGCCTTTTTGCCAATTTTGAATTACCCCTAATAATGCCTGCATAGATTGCTCATTCAGGACATAATAAGGTTATGTTCTGGACACATTTTTCAGCTCACGTATTCCACAACACGTTACGGATTGTATGAAGTAGTGTCAGCTGAACTTCGAAAAGGAGATGGTAAGAAAATGTCCGCAATACGTTATTTTCAGGCACAGGAGCCACAGGTCTGCCAGTGACAACAACAGTTATAGTAACTGCAATAATTATATCATGATAACAATGATGATGATGTTGATGAGGATAACAAAATAATACAAGCATGCATGACTCGTATGTTGTAACTTGTACTAATTCACATACATAGTAGTAGGTAGTAGCTTCACCTTTCTATGTAGAATGCACAGATTTTGTTCATCATTGAACTGTGGTGTGATTTTCTCAGGCTGACTTGACACCTGTCTGAGCCCCTCTTTTGAATTGGGGAAAGAGGTACATATGCAACTTGACTGGCATATGCAGAAGCCATGCATTACATTCACTTGCAAATTTTTGTGAATGTGTTCTGTTGTCGGATCATGTGTACTAAAGTCATCCACGGTCAAGTGCTGATCAATACCCTTGATTGACCCTTGATTGACCCTCAATTGACCCTCGATCAGCACTTGATCAACATCTCGATTGACACTTGATCGACATCTAAATTGATACTCAGCCGAGACTTGGATGGCACTCAATCAACGTCTCAATTGACAGTCAATTGACAGTCAGTTGATAGTTGGCCGAGTGTTGACCAACTCATATGCATCGATTGACACCGATGGCATGTCTACAAGAATTATTTGACTCTCAACCAACTGTTGACCGGGATGTTGATCATGTGTTGATCAAGTGTCAAGTGAGGTGTCGATGGAGCATCAATTAAGGGTCGATTGAGGGTCAATCAAGGATCAATCAAGGCTATCGATCCAGAGTATCGATCAACACTCGACCACGGATGCCTTTAGTACACATGATCCCTGTTGTCTGGTTGTAGACCTTCACACAGGTGGCATGCATTTCATATTTGCACATGGTGAGGGTGGAGAGATGTAATTAACGAATACATGTATGGTTTTAAAAATAATAGAACAAGATCTCTTAATTGAATTCTTCTTTTTATGTATGTTAAATTCTTAGCCCCACTACCATTTTATCAGAAAATTGCTGTCGGAGCTATGTCAGGTAAGGAGTTTCAAAGTGTTAATAATAATTATTTATTGATTTTATCTGTTAACAAAAAATACTTTAGGAAGTTAGTGTCTATGACATGAAAAAGTTTAGCTTTGCATTTCCTATCAACATGAAAGGTTTGCTTGTCCAGAAGTTGCCTTCAAATTATTGATTTGATACAATATTGTAAGGGTGCCTGAAAAAAGCCTTAAATGAACCTGTCTAGTGACATTGCATGAGTCAGGCACTTGTCTCTTGTTTTTATAGCATGAAATGGCTTAGGAGTATTTCTGCTATTCATTGGATGGGATTTCAGTTCATCACAGGGTTACCCTGGGCAGCATTTAATTTACTAGCTATATGTAGCACCTATGTTATAGTGTAACTGTTAGGTGGCTGGGTGAAGAGAGGCATGACGCAACCTTAGCTCAAGTTCAATCCTGGACCACTCAATGAGGAGTCTAATAATTATATCCATTAGCTACATGTAGCATGCCTCACATATCACAGCATATTTATATACATTTGTATTGCCTAACATAAAACCCTGAAATAAATATTTCTGTTCTTTGTTAGGTTTTGTGGGTGCATTCGTTGGAAATCCTGCAGATATGGTGAATGTGAGGTGAGAGCCACAGTTACATGATTTGTTTCTGATTTCATAGCCACAAATAAAAGGTAGAAGTCTATGTCCTGCCAATGATTGGTCCATGTAGCCGGGTCTTGTATATATAACTGTCGCTCAAACAAATGAGATTAACTAGATCCATTTGTCTGTAGTTTTCTGGTTATTGTGCAATACTACCCTAATCACATGTAGGTTTCCATTTCATTTTCAGGATGCAAAATGATGTTAAAATAATGGATGTTACCAAGAGAAGAAAGTGAGTAGTTTCTGTTAATAGTGCAACAGATAGATACAGCCTGATTGATTTTGTTATCCACTTTCAGCTGAAAGTGAGCAAAACTGCAGGAACGTGTTGAGTTCATTTAGTAATACACTGTAATGCTCTTCTGCCTTTGCTGGAAGGTTTATGGTTTTGTTAGGGTAATCTTGCTAATAAAAAAAGAAGGCAGGTACCTTAAGGTGCAACTTACAACTGGAGAAACAAGCAAATTACAGATGCAAAGGTAACCATGAAAACCTTGCCACTGGTCGACCCCATACAATGAGAGCAGTGGGTGCTTAGTCGTTAGAGAAGGAGGACCCGTGGGAAGGAAGAGCATTGTAGCACAACATAACTAAGAAAGACACAGCTCACCACCCTAGCAGAGGGTTTCAACAAGGCTTCAAGCAAGTGCCTAAGGTGCTTTGAGAAGGAGGACCCGTGGGAGGGACAAACATGGTAAAGATCCTCTGGGAAAAGGCTCCAAAGCACAATGCAGGCAGGCGGGCAGATGGACGGACGGACTGGCTGGCGCGGGGACGGACGGACGCATGCACGGACGCACGCACGCATGGACGCACGCACGGACTGACTGATTGATTGATTGATTGATTGAAGGTTTTAATTGACGCAATTATTATCTTGGGTCTTTTCAGTTACAAGCATGTGTTTGATGGTCTATACAGAACAGCAACAGAAGGTATGTTCATCATTAAACTAATTATATTTTACTTAATACAATGAATGATGTTGATTTAAAAAATAAGCTAAAATACCTATTTGTTCCATGCTGGCTGTTTTTCCATTGCAGACTTGCAGATTATTCTAATATCCTATTGACAGCTTATTACCAGTTAGAACAGTACTCTACTGTTTTACATGTTTCATACTGGGTTCATGCATCTAGTAAAAGTTACCTCTGAATCATTTATTCAAAGTTCTTACAGTGTGAACCACTAGTTGAACGCAAGAGGAATTTGTGGAATGCGGTGTTGTTGGTTCGGATGGGAACACCAATCATGCAAGAGATTAGATGAATAAACCAGAAACCTTTGTGGCAAAACCATCCCTATGGCATTATGCCTGCGATCTACAGAAAAATTTAAATGCCAAAGTCAAATGAAAGTGAGGATTCGCTCAGTCAGGCCCAGTTTAGACGCCTAACTTTTAATGAGCCGACCTTAATTCGAATTTGGACAGACCCAAATTATCAAAAGTGCCCTTGTTCATTCAGACGTCGAACTGAATTCACCAAACTTTATTTAGTTTTAACCACATCACATCCAAACGTCAGTGATTTTCAGGCAAAGTGCAAACTGCTTGTAAAATACGTTATAATAATTTATGCATTAGGTTTGTCACATGAAAAGTTTGACGTGTAAATCAAAGCCGTTCCAAAGCCGAAATTCCCGGCTGAGCTAGGCGGGAAGAACGGCTGAACCGTTCCAAATTCAACTAGCCATTGTTAACTGATTCAGACGCCGAACTTTTCACGTCCTTAATTCAACGTATTAGGTTCGGCTCATGAAAAGTTCGACGTCTGAACTGGGCCTCATAGTTATTTGGTTTGTGTCTCTCAGAGGGTATTGCTACGTGGATGAAGGGTGTCCAAATGACGTCATTTAGAGCTGTACTGATTACCGTGGCCCAGGTGTGTGTACGCTTATAATTTAGAAAGTACACCTCATGCAAAGTTCTATTTTCTCTTCGTCATCAACTTACTTTTTTCATGAGAGTTTTTTGATATATAGCTATAAGTACATTTCAGTATCAGAAGTCTTGTAGACTAAGAGAATTCACTCCCCAGATAGTTGTTTCAACTTGCAGTACAGTGTATAAACATTTGATGACTAGAATTATAACATGTTGTGCAAATATGTTTTGTACATTTTCACAGCGGCAGTAAACAAAGTGTCATAACCTGTTTGGCTCTCAAATATCATGAAACTAAAAAAGAAGGGAATCATTAAACCAGAAGGAGAAAATAATTTATCTACCATTAAAAACATAACAATTTATACATGATGGAAAACTGATAATCATTATGTTCGATTTTTAAATTTGGTTTACTTACGTGTATAAAAGCAATGCTATAACAGTGGAACCCCTATAAGACGGCCACCCCTATAGACCCTATTCATAAATGGCTGCCAATTTAAATTCTTTTGTATTCATTTAAATTAGCCCAGCTAACCTCGTTTGGGAGTAAAAATTCGTTTGAATTATCAAGTCAAAAACAAGGTTAGTTTGCCTAATTGCAATACTTACAAAAGAATTTTTAATTGGCAGCCATTTATGAATAGGGTCTACTAGGCGGCCAGTAATCAAAGTCCCGATGAGGCCTTTTCTATTGTTTTCACCTCTAATGAACGGCCAACCTCCTTTAAGAGGCCACTATCCATTTCCCTGAGGGTGGCTGCTTAATAGGGGTGGAAGTGTACTACNAAAGTAACAGCTAAGAAACACAGATGGTATCTCGGTGGCATCGCTTCGGCTATGGCGGCTGCCTGTACCCACCCGTTGGATCTGCTAAAGGTAGGCGCGTTGTCTTGAGTAAGCTGGTTGAAAGCTACAGCCTTTCCCCCAGTTTAATGTCTAACGCACAAGATAGGCTTAATTAACTGTGTTTTTAGGTTGTAAATAAGCCATAAATTTTCTCGCTTTATGACTTATGTAAGAAATGATCGAACAAGCCGGCATGATTTCCGCCTAGCTTTATGCTTCGTGTAAGCGTAATTATGCGTGAGGGTAACTCTCTCCCGGGGGGGAATCCTACATAAAAAAAGGACAGGGGTGCTCATCGTACCTTTTAGGAGCTAAAAAAACAGTTTTGGTACCTCTTAGGATGTTCAGCCTCAAACAGTCCACAGCAGGAGCTTTTGCAGCACCTTTTAGGGTATTGAGCTTAAAAATATGACAGGAAATAATATTTTGTGTTATAACTGATACCCCTTAGGGGTGAAAAAATTTCAAGCTACACCCACGAGACAGGATCCTGGCACCTCTTAGGGGTTATTTTCAAAATTTCCGATGATCACCCCTGTCTTTTTTATATGAGAGTCTCTCTCTAATTGTTAGGCCAGACTCAGGTAAGGCTATAAAAATCTGCATCAAATGACCCAAGTTTGAGCCCTGCCCAGGGTCATATTTTAAATTGCATTCTTTGATGAGACATTTTACTCCTCACTTAGTGTTAGAAGGCAGCCCTGCAATGGACTAACATCCAATCCAGGGGTGGTAGCAATTTTCCTTGGCTAGCTGTTTCATGCTACAGAAACTGGAGCCAAGGCTTTGGAGGCTTTCATGTTTAGTAGTAGCATGCGAGATGTTTCACTCATATTTAATCGGTCTCTTGTAGGTTCATCTGCAAACTCAGCAGCAGGTTACACAGAGGTTGTCATCCATGGCTGTTCATGTAGTACGGACACAAGGTGTTCTGGCCCTCTACAATGGACTATCTGCTTCTCTCACGAGACAGGTAATGCACTTGTTGCTTAACAAAGGTGTGCCACATTATATTTAAAAGCTGTTTATGAAAAAAAAAATATATAACTAGTCGGCGAAAAAATACTGATCTCTAGAAGTTGGTGACGTGATCGTAAATTGAAAGGTGTATGGAATGGCATGCAAATTAAAATAATGTCAATCTTTGGATCTGAATGTCTGCTCAGAATCCTGTAAATTGTAGTCAAGAGCTTTCTGCAATGAAGCAAGCAAATTAATTAGCAGTCTGTGTGGAGTCAATAATAACATGTCAAATATTTCAAGAAATTAAATAATTTTAAAGAAAATGGACAACTATGAAAATCATCTGTGAGGCCTTTTTTCCTACTTTCGCAAAGACAGAGAGAGAGATGATGATGATGACGATGACAATCATTTGAATTTAAGATCTGACAACATTATGACCAGGCCATGATTTTGCTAGTGGGACATTTCAGGATCAGCTAGCCAGGAGGGTGCAAAGGGTGTGTTTACACCCTCCCCCCACAGGCTTAGGGGGTCTGCATTTTTGTACTGAAGGTTGAACATCAAGAGTGCACTCAGTTAAAGTGAAGAATGCTCAGATAGTGGATCTTTAACAGTTTAAAACTTTGACAGTTAACCAAACCAAAACAAGTTGGAAATGGCAGTAATGATTACATGTACACTTGACTATTCATTCACTTGACTGTATTAGAAAATAAAACCAACTGTTCTCTAATTACCAGAGCCATTGAACTTCTACTCTCATTAATTTTTTTTTTTTCATGAGCTTGAAAATGTCCGAGTATGTCCATATTGAATTAATTAACATTATGTGCTGCACATGGCTTTGTGTAAGAGTTTAGACAAGTGAGCCAATGAGAACTGAAGGGAGCATATTCTTGTGGTTCTTGTCAGACATCTCTCCTGATGAGGTGTTGTTATATTCTTTTTACATGAGGACAAGTGCAGGTTTTCAATTGTTTTAGTTTGTGTTTTCATGGTATGGTAGGAGAGAACAAGAGAATTAAGCTGCAGCTAAGTCTTGCAAGCCTTTTCATGATACATGGGTCCATATGGTTGCAACTACATGTATATCCTAAATAAAATTATGGCTCAGACAGGGAATAAGTGCATTTCGATAGTTTGGTCCACTTTGTCCTTGGATACAGCCTCCTACACTCAAAATCCCGGCTTTGGGCCTACATTTGGTATCTAGAATAGCACTCTAATAACACATGTATAATATTCTCTATTGCCTCTAATGAAATGCTACAAATTAGACTAGGGCCTTTTTGCCAATTTTGAATTACCCCTAATAATGCCTGCATAGATTGCTCATTCAGGACATAATAAGGTTATGTTCTGGACACATTTTTCAGCTCACGTATTCCACAACACGTTACGGATTGTATGAAGTAGTGTCAGCTGAACTTCGAAAAGGAGATGGTAAGAAAATGTCCGCAATACGTTATTTTCAGGCACAGGAGCCACAGGTCTGCCAGTGACAACAACAGTTATAGTAACTGCAATAATTATATCATGATAACAATGATGATGATGTTGATGAGGATAACAAAATAATACAAGCATGCATGACTCGTATGTTGTAACTTGTACTAATTCACATACATAGTAGTAGGTAGTAGCTTCACCTTTCTATGTAGAATGCACAGATTTTGTTCATCATTGAACTGTGGTGTGATTTTCTCAGGCTGACTTGACACCTGTCTGAACCCCTCTTTTGAATTGGGGAAAGAGGTACATATACAACTTGACTGGCATATGCAGAAGTCATGCATTACATTCACTTGCAAATTTTTGTGAATGTCTTCTGTTGTCGGATCATGTGTACTAGAGTCATCCGTGGTCAAGTGCTGATCGATACCCTAGCTTGATAGACCCTCGATTGACACTTGATCAACATCTCAATATTATTGATACTCAGCTGAGACTTGGATGGCACTCAATCAACATCTCAATCGACAGTCGATTGACAGTCAGTTGATAGTTGGCCAAGTATTGACCAACTCATATGCATCGATTGACACCGATGGCATGTCTACAAGAATTATTTGACTTTCAACCAACTGTTGACCAGGATGTCGATCATGTGTTGATCAAGTGTCAAGTGAGGTGTCGATGGAGCATCGATTAAGGGTCGATTGAGGGTCAATCAAGGATCAATCAAGGCTATCGATCCAGAGTATCGATCAACACTCGACCACGGATGCCTTTAGTACACATGATCCCTGTTGTCTGGTTGTAGACCTTCACACAGGTGGCATGCATTTCGTATTTGCACATGGTGAGGGTGGAGAGATGTAATTAACGAATACATGTATGGTTTTAAAAATAATAGAACAAGATCTCTTAATTGAATTCTTCTTTTTATGTATGTTAAATTCTTAGCCCCACTACCATTTTATCAGAAAATTGCTGTCGGAGCTATGTCAGGTAAGGAGTTTCAAAGTGTTAATAATAATTATTTATTGATTTTATCTGTTAACAAAAAATACTTTAGGAAGTTAGTGTCTATGACATGAAAAAGTTTAGCTTTGCATTTCCTATCAACATGAAAGGTTTGCTTGTCCAGAAGTTGCCTTCAAATTATTGATTTGATACAATATTGTAAGGGTGCCTGAAAAAAGCCTTAAATGAACCTGTCTAGTGACATTGCATGAGTCAGGCACTTGTCTCTTGTTTTTATAGCATGAAATGGCTTAGGAGTATTTCTGCTATTCATTGGATGGGATTTCAGTTCATCACAGGGTTACCCTGGGCAGCATTTAATTTACTAGCTATATGTAGCACCTATGTTATAGTGTAACTGTTAGGTGGCTGGGTGAAGAGAGGCATGACGCAACCTTAGCTCAAGTTCAATCCTGGACCACTCAATGAGGAGTCTAATAATTATATCCATTAGCTACATGTAGCATGCCTCACATATCACAGCATATTTATATACATTTGTATTGCCTAACATAAAACCCTGAAATAAATATTTCTGTTCTTTGTTAGGTTTTGTGGGTGCATTCGTTGGAAATCCTGCAGATATGGTGAATGTGAGGTGAGAGCCACAGTTACATGATTTGTTTCTGATTTCATAGCCACAAATAAAAGGTAGAAGTCTATGTCCTGCCAATGATTGGTCCATGTAGCCGGGTCTTGTATATATAACTGTCGCTCAAACAAATGAGATTAACTAGATCCATTTGTCTGTAGTTTTCTGGTTATTGTGCAATACTACCCTAATCACATGTAGGTTTCCATTTCATTTTCAGGATGCAAAATGATGTTAAAATAATGGATGTTACCAAGAGAAGAAAGTGAGTAGTTTCTGTTAATAGTGCAACAGATAGATACAGCCTGATTGATTTTGTTATCCACTTTCAGCTGAAAGTGAGCAAAACTGCAGGAACGTGTTGAGTTCATTTAGTAATACACTGTAATGCTCTTCTGCCTTTGCTGGAAGGTTTATGGTTTTGTTAGGGTAATCTTGCTAATAAAAAAAGAAGGCAGGTACCTTAAGGTGCAACTTACAACTGGAGAAACAAGCAAATTACAGATGCAAAGGTAACCATGAAAACCTTGCCACTGGTCGACCCCATACAATGAGAGCAGTGGGTGCTTAGTCGTTAGAGAAGGAGGACCCGTGGGAAGGAAGAGCATTGTAGCACAACATAACTAAGAAAGACACAGCTCACCACCCTAGCAGAGGGTTTCAACAAGGCTTCAAGCAAGTGCCTAAGGTGCTTTGAGAAGGAGGACCCGTGGGAGGGACAAACATGGTAAAGATCCTCTGGGAAAAGGCTCCAAAGCACAATGCAGGCAGGCGGGCAGATGGACGGACGGACTGGCTGGCGCGGGGACGGACGGACGCATGCACGGACGCACGCACGCATGGACGCACGCACGGACTGACTGATTGATTGATTGATTGATTGAAGGTTTTCATTGACGCAATTATTATCTTGGGTCTTTTCAGTTACAAGCATGTGTTTGATGGTCTATACAGAACAGCAACAGAAGGTATGTTCATCATTAAACTAATTATATTTTACTTAATACAATGAATGATGTTGATTTAAAAAATAAGCTAAAATACCTATTTGTTCCATGCTGGCTGTTTTTCCATTGCAGACTTGCAGATTATTCTAATATCCTATTGACAGCTTATTACCAGTTAGAACAGTACTCTACTGTTTTACATGTTTCATACTGGGTTCATGCATCTAGTAAAAGTTACCTCTGAATCATTTATTCAAAGTTCTTACAGTGTGAACCACTAGTTGAACGCAAGAGGAATTTGTGGAATGCGGTGTTGTTGGTTCGGATGGGAACACCAATCATGCAAGAGATTAGATGAATAAACCAGAAACCTTTGTGGCAAAACCATCCCTATGGCATTATGCCTGCGATCTACAGAAAAATTTAAATGCCAAAGTCAAATGAAAGTGAGGATTCGCTCAGTCAGGCCCAGTTTAGACGCCTAACTTTTAATGAGCCGACCTTAATTCGAATTTGGACAGACCCAAATTATCAAAAGTGCCCTTGTTCATTCAGACGTCGAACTGAATTCACCAAACTTTATTTAGTTTTAACCACATCACATCCAAACGTCAGTGATTTTCAGGCAAAGTGTAAACTGCTTGTAAAATACGTTATAATAATTTATGCATTAGGTTTGTCACATGAAAAGTTTGACGTGTAAATCAAAGCCGTTCCAAAGCCGAAATTCCCGGCTGAGCTAGGCGGGAAGAACGGCTGAACCGTTCCAAATTCAACTAGCCATTGTTAACTGATTCAGACGCCGAACTTTTCACGTCCTTAATTCAACGTATTAGGTTCGGCTCATGAAAAGTTCGACGTCTGAACTGGGCCTCATAGTTATTTGGTTTGTGTCTCTCAGAGGGTATTGCTACGTGGATGAAGGGTGTCCAAATGACGTCATTTAGAGCTGTACTGATTACCGTGGCCCAGGTGTGTGTACGCTTATAATTTAGAAAGTACACCTCATGCAAAGTTCTATTTTCTCTTCGTCATCAACTTACTTTTTTCATGAGAGTTTTTTGATATATAGCTATAAGTACATTTCAGTATCAGAAGTCTTGTAGACTAAGAGAATTCACTCCCCAGATAGTTGTTTCAACTTGCAGTACAGTGTATAAACATTTGATGACTAGAATTATAACATGTTGTGCAAATATGTTTTGTACATTTTCACAGCGGCAGTAAACAAAGTGTCATAACCTGTTTGGCTCTCAAATATCATGAAACTAAAAAAGAAGGGAATCATTAAACCAGAAGGAGAAAATAATTTATCTACCATTAAAAACATAACAATTTATACATGATGGAAAACTGATAATCATTATGTTCGATTTTTAAATTTGGTTTACTTACGTGTATAAAAGCAATGCTATAACAGTGGAACCCCTATAAGACGGCCACCCCTATAGACCCTATTCATAAATGGCTGCCAATTTAAATTCTTTTGTATTCATTTAAATTAGCCCAGCTAACCTCGTTTGGGAGTAAAAATTCGTTTGAATTATCAAGTCAAAAACAAGGTTAGTTTGCCTAATTGCAATACTTACAAAAGAATTTTTAATTGGCAGCCATTTATGAATAGGGTCTACTAGGCGGCCAGTAATCAAAGTCCCGATGAGGCCTTTTCTATTGTTTTCACCTCTAATGAACGGCCAACCTCCTTTAAGAGGCCACTATCCATTTCCCTGAGGGTGGCTGCTTAATAGGGGTGGAAGTGTACTACAGTAACTTTTTTTTGTTCTCTGCTGGGTATTGTACATGTATGCTCGTGTGAATAAGAGTTATCAACGTTACCGTCGTCATCGTCATTATCAGGAGATAAGCTAGAAAGGGATAACCTCTTTTATCTCCTTTACTATGGATTTGTGAATAAACAGTTATTATTATTATTATTATTATTATTATTATTATTATTATTATTATTATTATCATCAATATCATTGTTGCTTAAGTCATCAGCATCAGTATCATTACCGTCGATGAAAGCGGTATCTTGTCAAAGGAATCAAAGCTAATATATGTCAGAAAGTTTTTAAATTAAAGGTTAAAACTTAATTATAGACTCTACTCATAAATGGCTGCCAATAAAAAAATTCTTTTGTAAGTATTAAAATTAGCCCAACTAACCTCATCTTTGAGATGATAATTCAAAAGAATTTTAGCTCTCAAGCGAAGTTAGTGGGGCTAATTTAAATGCATACAAAATAATTTTAAATTGGCAGCATTTATGAATAGGGTCTACACCTTTTCCAGAAAAAGATGTTCACACGAATTAAAATTGCATGTACCAAGAAATATGTTAGTTTTAAAATCTGTTTCTTTTCTTAGGTAGCCTGTTATGACCAAACAAAACAATTGTTACTCACGACAGGGTAAGTGTCCCATGAGGGCTACTGTTAGGAGGCGTCTTCAATATGGATAGTATATCCTTGATAATGATAAACGTGATAAATATACTCTGCTTTGTAATAAACATCATTATTATTTGCCTTGTGTCTGTAGCAGATACAACGCGCACTCTGATTGGCTAATTCTAGGGCATTATTCTCCCGTAATGCCCATGGGCCGATTACGGGCCTGGAAAACCATTGACCTCTGATTAATGATTTGAACCACGCTCCTTTATTTTGTTTTGACGTCGTTGCCTAACAATTGTTTTGCAACATTTCATTTATATCTCGATTTAGCTAAGCCTGAAAGCGGAGCTCCTGGGTCTGGTTGTTCAAAGCCCGATTAAGCTAAACCAGGATAAGCGAGAATTTTGATTTGAGTTTTGTAACTTGGCGGTGATGTTTTCTCTTTATATTGTTTTTTCTTCTGTTTCCAGTTTGATTAATCTCAAACTACACAAAACATTAGCAGTGAAAAACATTTTTGTACAAGGAAAATTTATACTTCGTTTAATTTTTAATCCTGGGTTTGCGTTGACTGGCTTCCGAACAACCCCGCCCTAAACAATTTTCGGATTTTCCTGAAACTTTCCCGGAAAATTTCCGTATCATTTGCCCCCACATAAAAACAAAATCCGAAATTTTTGGTTAAACGGAAAGAGCCGTTTTTTTGATCCTAACGAAGAGAAATTTGATCTTTTGGGAAAACTATTATGCCCGCCTTAGCATCACGGGAAAATTCTCTATTTTAACAACTCTCATTATTACGGACTGGTATTTTTTTTATTGTTTGCAGATATTTCAGTGATAACATGTTAACACACTTTACTGCAAGTTTCATAGCGGTAAGAATATATTATTACATGTTATTAAACCAGAGTGAGGTCTGTATTGGAGAAATACCGGTCGACTTCTCTTGTCTTTTCAAGTCTATGGACTGTGCTGCAGCCGTTCCGGTCCTGTTTTGACTGCTAGCTGAAGTTGTTTTGCTTTATACCTGAGTTCTCGGCCACCCAAGTACACAGCTAACAAGCCTGCCTTCTGTCAGTTTGGTAGTTTTATTATATCTGTCAGTTACTACAGTGTACGGGCGCTGTGATTGTTCAGGTTAGCCCGTCATATTCTACTGCACGGCCCGCTAGAGTTTAAAACTGTTCAGTTTTGCTGCCAAAATGCTTCGTGTGTTCTTAACTTTTATAGGAAGTAAAAGTTTAAAACTTTCTTTTACTTTAAATTGTGTATTTTAAATGTGCTAACGAGTTAACGATTTCAGATTGACTTGTTTTGCTTTTGACATGCGTCAGAAATTTGAAGCCGCTCCGTGTGAACAGAATTCGTTCCCGGAACCGTCAGAAACACAGTAGAAATATAATAAATATCTTACTAACCTCGTTTTCTCGGTCCGTTCTGTAAGTTACGGATCGTCGTTTTTTTNGTTATTGTGCAATACTACCCTAATCACATGTAGGTTTCCATTTCATTTTCAGGATGCAAAATGATGTTAAAATAATGGATGTTACCAAGAGAAGAAAGTGAGTAGTTTCTGTTAATAGTGCAACAGATAGATACAGCCTGATTGATTTTGTTATCCACTTTCAGCTGAAAGTGAGCAAAACTGCAGGAACGTGTTGAGTTCATTTAGTAATACACTGTAATGCTCTTCTGCCTTTGCTGGAAGGTTTATGGTTTTGTTAGGGTAATCTTGCTAATAAAAAAAGAAGGCAGGTACCTTAAGGTGCAACTTACAACTGGAGAAACAAGCAAATTACAGATGCAAAGGTAACCATGAAAACCTTGCCACTGGTCGACCCCATACAATGAGAGCAGTGGGTGCTTAGTCGTTAGAGAAGGAGGACCCGTGGGAAGGAAGAGCATTGTAGCACAACATAACTAAGAAAGACACAGCTCACCACCCTAGCAGAGGGTTTCAACAAGGCTTCAAGCAAGTGCCTAAGGTGCTTTGAGAAGGAGGACCCGTGGGAGGGACAAACATGGTAAAGATCCTCTGGGAAAAGGCTCCAAAGCACAATGCAGGCAGGCGGGCAGATGGACGGACGGACTGGCTGGCGCGGGGACGGACGGACGCATGCACGGACGCACGCACGCATGGACGCACGCACGGACTGACTGATTGATTGATTGATTGATTGAAGGTTTTAATTGACGCAATTATTATCTTGGGTCTTTTCAGTTACAAGCATGTGTTTGATGGTCTATACAGAACAGCAACAGAAGGTATGTTCATCATTAAACTAATTATATTTTACTTAATACAATGAATGATGTTGATTTAAAAAATAAGCTAAAATACCTATTTGTTCCATGCTGGCTGTTTTTCCATTGCAGACTTGCAGATTATTCTAATATCCTATTGACAGCTTATTACCAGTTAGAACAGTACTCTACTGTTTTACATGTTTCATACTGGGTTCATGCATCTAGTAAAAGTTACCTCTGAATCATTTATTCAAAGTTCTTACAGTGTGAACCACTAGTTGAACGCAAGAGGAATTTGTGGAATGCGGTGTTGTTGGTTCGGATGGGAACACCAATCATGCAAGAGATTAGATGAATAAACCAGAAACCTTTGTGGCAAAACCATCCCTATGGCATTATGCCTGCGATCTACAGAAAAATTTAAATGCCAAAGTCAAATGAAAGTGAGGATTCGCTCAGTCAGGCCCAGTTTAGACGCCTAACTTTTAATGAGCCGACCTTAATTCGAATTTGGACAGACCCAAATTATCAAAAGTGCCCTTGTTCATTCAGACGTCGAACTGAATTCACCAAACTTTATTTAGTTTTAACCACATCACATCCAAACGTCAGTGATTTTCAGGCAAAGTGTAAACTGCTTGTAAAATACGTTATAATAATTTATGCATTAGGTTTGTCACATGAAAAGTTTGACGTGTAAATCAAAGCCGTTCCAAAGCCGAAATTCCCGGCTGAGCTAGGCGGGAAGAACGGCTGAACCGTTCCAAATTCAACTAGCCATTGTTAACTGATTCAGACGCCGAACTTTTCACGTCCTTAATTCAACGTATTAGGTTCGGCTCATGAAAAGTTCGACGTCTGAACTGGGCCTCATAGTTATTTGGTTTGTGTCTCTCAGAGGGTATTGCTACGTGGATGAAGGGTGTCCAAATGACGTCATTTAGAGCTGTACTGATTACCGTGGCCCAGGTGTGTGTACGCTTATAATTTAGAAAGTACACCTCATGCAAAGTTCTATTTTCTCTTCGTCATCAACTTACTTTTTTCATGAGAGTTTTTTGATATATAGCTATAAGTACATTTCAGTATCAGAAGTCTTGTAGACTAAGAGAATTCACTCCCCAGATAGTTGTTTCAACTTGCAGTACAGTGTATAAACATTTGATGACTAGAATTATAACATGTTGTGCAAATATGTTTTGTACATTTTCACAGCGGCAGTAAACAAAGTGTCATAACCTGTTTGGCTCTCAAATATCATGAAACTAAAAAAGAAGGGAATCATTAAACCAGAAGGAGAAAATAATTTATCTACCATTAAAAACATAACAATTTATACATGATGGAAAACTGATAATCATTATGTTCGATTTTTAAATTTGGTTTACTTACGTGTATAAAAGCAATGCTATAACAGTGGAACCCCTATAAGACGGCCACCCCTATAGACCCTATTCATAAATGGCTGCCAATTTAAATTCTTTTGTATTCATTTAAATTAGCCCAGCTAACCTCGTTTGGGAGTAAAAATTCGTTTGAATTATCAAGTCAAAAACAAGGTTAGTTTGCCTAATTGCAATACTTACAAAAGAATTTTTAATTGGCAGCCATTTATGAATAGGGTCTACTAGGCGGCCAGTAATCAAAGTCCCGATGAGGCCTTTTCTATTGTTTTCACCTCTAATGAACGGCCAACCTCCTTTAAGAGGCCACTATCCATTTCCCTGAGGGTGGCTGCTTAATAGGGGTGGAAGTGTACTACAGTAACTTTTTTTTGTTCTCTGCTGGGTATTGTACATGTATGCTCGTGTGAATAAGAGTTATCAACGTTACCGTCGTCATCGTCATTATCAGGAGATAAGCTAGAAAGGGATAACCTCTTTTATCTCCTTTACTATGGATTTGTGAATAAACAGTTATTATTATTATTATTATTATTATTATTATTATTATTATTATTATTATTATCATCAATATCATTGTTGCTTAAGTCATCAGCATCAGTATCATTACCGTCGATGAAAGCGGTATCTTGTCAAAGGAATCAAAGCTAATATATGTCAGAAAGTTTTTAAATTAAAGGTTAAAACTTAATTATAGACTCTACTCATAAATGGCTGCCAATAAAAAAATTCTTTTGTAAGTATTAAAATTAGCCCAACTAACCTCATCTTTGAGATGATAATTCAAAAGAATTTTAGCTCTCAAGCGAAGTTAGTGGGGCTAATTTAAATGCATACAAAATAATTTTAAATTGGCAGCATTTATGAATAGGGTCTACACCTTTTCCAGAAAAAGATGTTCACACGAATTAAAATTGCATGTACCAAGAAATATGTTAGTTTTAAAATCTGTTTCTTTTCTTAGGTAGCCTGTTATGACCAAACAAAACAATTGTTACTCACGACAGGGTAAGTGTCCCATGAGGGCTACTGTTAGGAGGCGTCTTCAATATGGATAGTATATCCTTGATAATGATAAACGTGATAAATATACTCTGCTTTGTAATAAACATCATTATTATTTGCCTTGTGTCTGTAGCAGATACAACGCGCACTCTGATTGGCTAATTCTAGGGCATTATTCTCCCGTAATGCCCATGGGCCGATTACGGGCCTGGAAAACCATTGACCTCTGATTAATGATTTGAACCACGCTCCTTTATTTTGTTTTGACGTCGTTGCCTAACAATTGTTTTGCAACATTTCATTTATATCTCGATTTAGCTAAGCCTGAAAGCGGAGCTCCTGGGTCTGGTTGTTCAAAGCCCGATTAAGCTAAACCAGGATAAGCGAGAATTTTGATTTGAGTTTTGTAACTTGGCGGTGATGTTTTCTCTTTATATTGTTTTTTCTTCTGTTTCCAGTTTGATTAATCTCAAACTACACAAAACATTAGCAGTGAAAAACATTTTTGTACAAGGAAAATTTATACTTCGTTTAATTTTTAATCCTGGGTTTGCGTTGACTGGCTTCCGAACAACCCCGCCCTAAACAATTTTCGGATTTTCCTGAAACTTTCCCGGAAAATTTCCGTATCATTTGCCCCCACATAAAAACAAAATCCGAAATTTTTGGTTAAACGGAAAGAGCCGTTTTTTTGATCCTAACGAAGAGAAATTTGATCTTTTGGGAAAACTATTATGCCCGCCTTAGCATCACGGGAAAATTCTCTATTTTAACAACTCTCATTATTACGGACTGGTATTTTTTTTATTGTTTGCAGATATTTCAGTGATAACATGTTAACACACTTTACTGCAAGTTTCATAGCGGTAAGAATATATTATTACATGTTATTAAACCAGAGTGAGGTCTGTATTGGAGAAATACCGGTCGACTTCTCTTGTCTTTTCAAGTCTATGGACTGTGCTGCAGCCGTTCCGGTCCTGTTTTGACTGCTAGCTGAAGTTGTTTTGCTTTATACCTGAGTTCTCGGCCACCCAAGTACACAGCTAACAAGCCTGCCTTCTGTCAGTTTGGTAGTTTTATTATATCTGTCAGTTACTACAGTGTACGGGCGCTGTGATTGTTCAGGTTAGCCCGTCATATTCTACTGCACGGCCCGCTAGAGTTTAAAACTGTTCAGTTTTGCTGCCAAAATGCTTCGTGTGTTCTTAACTTTTATAGGAAGTAAAAGTTTAAAACTTTCTTTTACTTTAAATTGTGTATTTTAAATGTGCTAACGAGTTAACGATTTCAGATTGACTTGTTTTGCTTTTGACATGCGTCAGAAATTTGAAGCCGCTCCGTGTGAACAGAATTCGTTCCCGGAACCGTCAGAAACACAGTAGAAATATAATAAATATCTTACTAACCTCGTTTTCTCGGTCCGTTCTGTAAGTTACGGATCGTCGTTTTTTTCCCCTCCAAGTGCTTTGTGACCATTCCCCTCTATTAACTTAATGTAAACGAAGCAATTCGTTTCATATGTATAGTATACTCGATAGTTAGAAGCAAAACTCGTGCCGTCTTAATTGAGCGCTCATTGATCATTTAGGGTACAATAGCTACTGGCATCACACAGCCTGTTGATGTAATGAAGACAAGACTCATGGAAGCAAAACCAGGACAGTACAAGGTACAGTGCGCATTGCTAAATGTACGGGGTAAAATATCCCGGGAGGGGACTCCTATGTGAAAAGACCGGGGATGTTGGTGGACATTTTGAATTACACCCCTAAAGGAGACCAAACCGAACGCGGCTTGAGCTTTATTTGCCCCTAAACTATACTACCTTATTACATGAAATATTCGCGACACGTTAATTTGGCGAATTTTGCGATTTAAAAACAGTCGCGAAATTTAAGTGACGCGAAAAATAAGTGTCGCGAACATAACATGACGCGAAAATTAAGTGACTCACATTATGTTACTGTTGATATATTACTTCTCAAACTCATTAATAATTAATCAAGTTTAAACAAAGGAAATCATGACCGTGACGGTGTTTGGATATCTGATCTTAATTAACATAGATTTTTACGATTTTAATTCTTCGTTTTCTCCTTAGTTTTAGTCTCGATTGAGAAGATATATCAAACACTSAAGACAGTGTTTGACCACATTTCCAAACACCTCGAAGTTCGTCAAAAATACTCCGCTGCGCGTCGTATTTTCAACTCTCTTCTCGGAGTTTGGAAATGTGGTCAAACACGGTCTTTCGTGTTTGATATATTACTTCCACCGTTGTCCTTTTGTTAATTTCGACGTTATTGTACCTTTGATAACGTCGGTTTAATAAATTCAAGGTCATGTTGAAGTAACATTGCCATGGAAATAAATACGTGTTACTCAAAAACGTGAAGTTAAAGTGATTCAAAATACAAAATTCTCGCAAAATCCCGGAATTCAAGTGTCGCGAAATATGCGCACCGCAAAATCGAGAAATAAACGTGTCGCGAAAATTTCATGTAATAAGGTATTTAAAAACGGACATGACAGCGTTTTTTGTCCTTTCTTCGAGAGCAATTAAAGATACCTTGACGGCTAAAAATGATGGCGTTTTGTCCTGAAAGTCCTAAGCGACATCAAAATCTGCGATTTACAGCGCTAAGCAAGACGACGACCATCCCCGACCTTTTTACATGGGAGCTCCCCTCCCGCCCCGTAAAATACTCACACTTAATGGCTGGTACCGAGAGCAAATAAAGACCGTTGGTTTCCCGAAGAAGCAGTGATGAAGTGATTTGTTATAAAATAGCGTAACGAGGACATTAGCCGATCGACGTGTAGCGGCATTCGTCAGTCAATATTGGCGAGTAACAGTGCACTGTCACCCTCTGACGTGATAAATTTTGCAAAGCTACTTTTGGCGGGAAAAACAGGCAGGACACATTTTCATGATTAGATAATCCTGCGAGCTGGAAGTAGTTATAAACAACGAGAGAAAGCACTGTTTGAGGTGGGGATAGCTATATAAACAGATCTATTATTTTTAATCTATAATCCAAAGTGGGTATGTCAATTAACATTATATTCGTCCATAATATAATTGTTAAGAGGCTGTCTCTGTAAGAACCGACCACTGATTTTACTTCGAAAATTCGATTTTTCTCATACGCTGGGATTTCAAAGCCCTTACCTAGTCAATTACTAAAATGAGTTTTGTTTCATTAAAAATTCCAACTGAAGTTTTCTAGGATTGATTGAAGTTCGGTCCGCTCGACACAAGTTTCATGCCCGCCGAAACTGGAAAAATAGCACATATTGTCGGCGCTTATTGTCGACTTCAATCAATCCCAGAAAACTTCAATTGAAATTTTTAATGAAACAAAACTCATTTTAGTGATTGATTAGGTAAGGGCTTTGAAATCCCAGCTTATGAGAAAAATCGAATTTTCGAAGTAAAATCAGTGGTCGGTTCTTACAGAGACAGCCTCTTAATTATGTTATAAATCCTTGTTGAGACTGAAAAAGTGCGACTAATTGGCATGAAACTCGTTAGTAAGCTATCCACATCAAATTAGCCCTCCCTTGCGTGAGTTAAAACTTGCTTCTCTTTGTCCGTTCAACTCCTCCTCACAAGAGAAACACCTCAGTGATACTCAGCCCAAAAATACATGTTGTGGCATCACTGACGTCCGTTCGGTATACCTGACCGTTTCACTCACTCTCTTTCCCCCCACCCCACTCCTTTCCTGTCTTGACCAAAGCTATCCCGCCCCTGTCGGTACCTTGAGTCGGGATCGTTTTCTGTCCCACTTATGTGATAATTCTAAATTGAATTTGAATCTTTCTTATTAAACGTCCTCTACACAAAGTTTCATGTGTCCAGGCAGGTTAGTGATTTGAAACAAATATCTCCTCACTTTGACGTCCCCAAACAGCAAAAAGATGTTACCTTAGCCTTAATTTTTCACAGAGGGATAACCAATTGTGTACTGTGGGTTTCCGATTTGGCATTACCAACTTACATGCAGGTATGTTATTTTGCAGAGCATTATGCATTGCGTGCTTCACACAGCAAGGCTTGGACCAATGGGATTTTACAAGGTAACATTACGAATGCTGTCGCATTAATAAGGCTTATTCACTGGGGTTCCTTGTGTAACTGTGGCACATGTTGCCAACATTCACGCTTGAATGGTCTTGAATGAGCTCTGTCTACCGGGGCAAAGAAAGTGAATCTTTCCGCCAGGAATGGCCCCGCGAAGGACTAAAATCTACTCGATAAAACTCACCAGCCATTGCGCTTGAGCTGTAAGCAAAATGGCGTCTTGAGCCGCAAAATGCGTTTTTCACCGATTGGGTATGTGGTAATAGGTTAAAGATACGTTTCAATTCTATTCGCATTTGATTACCACTGTACAGTATCCTTATAGGATCTCACAGCTTTACTTTGTTGTTTGTTGTTAGGGTTTTGTCCCAGCCTGGATCCGTTTGGAACCTTACACAATTTTGACATGGATGTTCCTCGAACAGCTTAGAGTGTTCTTTCCCTTGAAGCAGTCAGAGTGATGTAATCAGATTCACGGTTAATAATCTTAATACAGGGATCGGAATACGGTATTTTCTCGGTTGACATGTGGCATCTCACCCGATTAGTTTGTAGCTGTTTTGCTGGCAAATACAGCTATTTCTTAATTAGCATATACCCATTGGTGAATGTCTGTGGGTTCCTCACGCCAATCGGAAAATGTCTACCATCGGTAACCAATCAAATTTGGGCGTCTTTTTAACTGTCATAAGGCTGAATCCGCTGCGGCCACTAGACCTGGAGACCCTTCCTCCTGGCAGCCACGTATTCTGAATAGCTGTGATTTTGTAGTGTCAGTTTATTTGAAAATCAGCGAGCAAACTCAGAAAACCTGCACGATATCCATAGTACATGTTGCAGACCATATTTAAAGTTGGAAAATTGTAGCTGCTTAAACGTGTTAGAAATTTCAAATTGTGAAAAGAAAAACCAAAGCAATAATCAAAACAAAACAGACAAAAGAAGTACATAAGTTTTGAGCGTTCCGTTACTGGTGTTTCTTTTTTTAATATTTCTTGCCTTACTAGCTGTACAAAGAAATCATCAGACCAGGACCATCTTTGTCTCCCCCCTCCCCCCACCCCTCCCTGCGACAGGAACAAGACAGGCAATTGAAATTGCATTACAGTTTTTAGGCATTGGTCATTGTTATCTTTACACATTTTTTAAAATAAGAAAGGCCTTTTTTGATGGGAAATCAAACGAAAGCGCCGGATTAACTATATTGTGGAGAGACTTTTCTTAAAACTTTTAAAGAGCTGGTTTTTGGAAATTTCCAATAATTTCAGCGGTCTATTTAGAAGAGAAGAAACAACTCTCTATTTGTGCGTCAATATATTTATATAAGGTCATAGAAAGAAACGAAATTATGCACATTGCTCATCTGTGAATTTACTAATAAAATAGACTTAAATATTATTGGATAGCATTATAAGAGTAAGATAAAATGCGAAATAACGCGTACTAATGCGTACTAACGGCGGAATATTACTGTTGAAAGAATATTTTCTTTTTTTCTTTCAATTATTTCATCAACACATCAATATGGTCATGCACTGTTATCTAGTGCTTTATTCTTATTAAAACATACGGAGAACACAAAAATCGATTCTACACATTGTGCATGTAATGCTTGAACCCTCTGGGGGTTGAACTGGAACTATAAAATGTAACGACTTAATCAACTGGGTTGCCAAATACATTGTACCTTTCTGGACGAGATACTTCAGCAATGCCCCTGTTCCAACAAAACAACAGGGCTATTGATTAACATAACCGGGTGAAAAAAATCAAAGTTGCGGAGCGGCAGTGTCTTGCTGAATCAGTTGTGCGATATACGTTCGTTTGTTCGTTCAGTTCAGTCGTTCGTTGGTACGTTCGTTGGTTCATGCGTGCGTTCGATCTATCGATCGTTCATTCGTTTGGTCCTTTATTCCTTTATAAATGGGTACAAGAACTCGATCTGGAATATCCGCCCTTTAAAAAATAAAAATATCTACACGTGCGCGCCAGCAAGTCCTTAATACGCCGGCGGCTTAATTTGCTCCAAAGTTATTTCATGGGTTTGATCCAGGCCTGAGGTCCGTGGCGGTGCTTGACGATCCACACATGATCAATTACTTTCCCTCCCTGTTAACGAAACAGATGTCACGAGATAAATGCTGTAAACAAACTATGATGATACTGAAAAAAAAAATACCATTAAGAGAAAATAAGTCTTCGAAACGAACTCAACACGAAAAGATTTCGATTCCAAGTTTGAGTCATAATCATTACAACGTCTACCTCCTCTACCATACTAAAGCGTGCATGTGATTGGAATCAATTCCAAACCTGGATTGGAATCCGTATTCTGCTTGGAGTCATGATATTTGTTTGGTTATGAGTGATTTTTTTTTCTTTTTTTACTGCAAAAGGTATAGAATAACGTAACGAAACGATCTTAATGGTGACAGGAATTAAGAGCGATCCCCATAATATAGTTTGAACGATGGGCCTATTCATTATCAGTCCCATTCGTTTACGAGAATATATAATTCGGGTAAGCAGGGGTGGTTCATAGGTGAGAGCGCTCGCCTCCCACAAGCCTGCAGTGCAAGCTTTTTCCGTTTGTCTACGAGTTATCAGTATTACAAAAACTGTAACTCGCGAACGATTAGATTGGCCGCCATGTTGGCTTTTCTGCCTCACTCATTTTCCCTACAGGGCCTTTTTGTCTCTTCCGAAGGCTCTTCCGAATTTGAATCCAAAATGGCGCTCTCGTAATCAAAATGCGCTCTCTCGCTAAAATAAGCCTTTATTGCAGGCTAGCCTCCCACCAGTGTGGTCTTGGTTCGAATCCTCAGCCCAACCTCATAAGTGGGCTGTGATTGGTGTTTGTTCTTGTCCTTGCTTCGAGGGTTTCCTCGGGTTCTCAAATTTTCTACCCTAACCAAAACCCAAAACTTCTGAATCCCAGTTCGATCTAGTAACTTAGTCAGGGACGAATAGCACTCCATAGTTTTATGTTTTTGCAGTAGACGTTGCTACGCAACGTGACCAATTCTTACTATGCTACTGAATATGCTGGTACGACTTTGGCGTCGACTGGGTAACAAGACAATCAAGCGGCTAACGAACTAACTTGAGAACTTGACAATCTACTATATTTCTTCCAAGGAATGTTCGGACATACTGACTGAAAATGCTCCGAATGAATGGACTTACCTTGTCAACACTGACTTGTTCTAAATAAAGATGCGTGTTGTTGTGTATGATCATCCTTGTGTAGCCGTAATCTAAAGCACGGAACGCTGTCCATGGACCATACTTAGGGTAGAAAGGATCATGATGTTCGCGACATCCCTGTAAATGAAATTCGTGCTCAAATTCAGAAAGTAACTTTCACTTGTTTTTCTCAAACTCATTAATAATTCATCACGTTTAAAGAAAGAAAATCATGACCATGACTGTGTTTGGAGGTTGATCTTAATCAGCAAAGATTTTTACAATTCTATTTCTCCGTTTTGTCCTTAGTTTTTGTTTCGATTGAGAAGATATGTCAAACACTCAAGACTGTTTGACCACATTTCCAAACACCTCGAAGTTCGTCAAAAATACTCCGCTGCGCGTCGTTATATTCAACTCTCTTCTCGGTGTTTGGAAATGTGGTCAGCCACGGTCTTTTGTGTTTGATATATTACTATTCTTTCATATTGATCTTTCATTTCTGTTGTAATATTAAGGCGGTATGCGTATGCTCCGAGATATGAACGAAGAGCAAATGGGCTGGGAAAATGTGTTCGTTACAAAGGGGACTATTTGTGCACGAAACCATATTACAACTCCTTACTGTACACGACCCGTAATCACCTTTCTTAGTCACTCTCCGTAGGGCTAACGCTGGAAATCTCCGGTTTACGGATAGCCCATTTTCTCAGTTCTTTGCTTAGTGATCGGTCCTTTTAGTAGAAGCGAGGCTACAGTTGACTGGATTATGATACAAACCTTGCTACTTTCCAAATGCAGACTTCAACACGACATAACATGCGTAACATGGCATATATTCCAGATGTTATTAACATAAATAGCAATAACGTACAAGTAATGAAGGAAAACGAGAGCCTGACCCTACAACGTTTTTTCTAAAATAAAAGGATTAAAAATGATTAAAAATACTCGTGAAAGTTTGGGAGAACTCGAAAAAGCTGTGGAAACACTCGCCTGCGGCTCGTGTTCCCACAGAATTTCTCGTTCTTCCAAACTTCCACTCGTGTTTCTATTATGAGCTCGAGATTTCTATCGCGTGATAGTTGACAAGGGCGCAGCATAGAAGTCGAGAGCGAATAATCCAATTGTTTTAGTATAAATCTACTAGTCGTTCAAAACTTAGCTAACTCCTCATCACAGACACTTCGAAAATTCCAAGAAGCGGCCTTCATTTTTGTTAACAAGGTCATGTAGGGGTACACTGCTACGCTACTCGCTATCACAGAATAGGTAGTAAGTAGCGTAGCCAATCAGAGAACGGCATTCGTGATAGAACGCTAGTAGATGTTTTCTATTTCCTAAGTAATACACGGCTTAGGCTTCTCTATTTGTTAAATAAACGTAAACAATTTATCAAACACTGATTTCCAAACGCCGTGCGAGTTTTGAGCGCGGCTTGCAAATCCCATACCGCTGATCCAGTGATGATATGGACTGGAGCGCATGGATTGGTGTAAGGTTCGTTTGAAGGACCTTTACAAAGCTGTAAGAGGAAAATTGAAATGAAAACAATCATTCATTGGTAAAAGGTAACAATAATGGACCTTTATAATAATGTGGCGAGCAAATACATACTGATTTGCCCCCTAAGCATCCCATAATAGCTATTTGAAACAACAAAATTCAAAATGGCCCCCGTATCGCTGAAAAGGTCCATTATTATGTTATCTCCATTAAGATAGAGGGTAAAACGTTCCGGCTTAATCCTCGCTTTGTATTGTCTGCATGAGAATAGATCGTATCATCGTAGCCAAATTAGCAATTAGCCAATTAGAGGCCGTGTACACTGTTCTGATATCTTGCGATATGAAGGGCGCGTTCCATTCGACCAAAAATTGCGAGATTTCCGGTCCGAAATTGAATGGCACGGTAAAAATTCCGGGAAAGTTTTCGAAAATTTAGGAATACGTTTTGAGTGCATGCTCTTTGATGGAATTTCCGGAATTATCGAAAATTTTTGTGTTCCATTCGCAAGAGATGTCGGGTTTGCCACACTCCAAAGGAACAGCAGTATTTGTTTTTCTGGCAAAATTGCGGGCCACCCAGATGAATTGCCAGTTGGAATCCGACAAGTGTGCATTATTTCTTGTGTCAATAACTGACACGTTTCCCTAGTCATCCGGAAATGGTTTTCGAACTCCCCCAATAAATACGCTGGAATAGTTACTTCGAAGTCCCCATTTACAAGAGTTAATTCCCTCCGCATAAAGCAGGCAACTGCAGCCAGAAGTATTACGTCGTCGATGCTATCGAGAATGGTACAACTTATTGTTTCACAGTCATCCTGCTCTAAAGCCGCGAAAATGTTCAAAAAGTCCGCCATTTTCAAACACAACAAAGTTTCACCCAGCATGCCTTGTGTTGCAGAGCACGTGACCTCGAATTCTGGGTAGCGGTCGGACGTGTTCCAGTCGACCAGCGAAAATTCCGAAAATTTGAACCGGTGATTTTTGTTGAATGGAAAGCGCCCGAAGTTACTGTCCTGATATGCCCGGATACGGGCCCGAATACGGTAAGGGCGGCACATCGGACTCGTTTGACAAAATATGTGGCTCGTACAGCGCAAAGTTTGATATGATACACAGTTACATCATAGTTTCGTGTCGTATTAGGCTCATGGGTATATTTCACTCGAACACATCTCACAAGGATACAAACGCTTCGAGGGCATACCAGGCGAGTTGGTTGAGCCATGGTTTTTGGCGTGACGTAGACGAACCCAGATATCCAATCGAAACCAATCGAACGTGGCATTTATCGTACCCAAATTCAGCCGAAATTCCAGAGATATTTTTCTTGTCATGGTAATCCGTCAGGATTTTCCAGTTTCAATGTTCTATTTTGAAAACCTCTTTGCAATTTGAGTCATCAAAAAACTACTTAACTTAGGAGTGAACATGATATGGTAGTCATATCAGGTCAGTGACTTGATATAGCAGGATATCAGGACAACAGACACTGCTTCTGATTGGCTAATTCCTAATTTGGGTAAGGTAAGCCAAAAGGTGCTATTAGTTAGAAATTGTTAGACATTCGTGAAGGCATGGCTGTTCAGCACTTTTTCGTTGTGTACCGTGGAATAGTTCACTCGTGACTTTATTTTTCTTTACATAGTTATTCCTTCAGATCGTAAGGTTGGCCGGCATTTCGAAGAAGAAAGGAGCCGATTACGTAATACTTAATGGGGATTCTTTTATAACAACATTACCCTTATTAGTATAGGTGCTTCAGTTTCTGATCAAGTTACAGAATTATCAATTCTGATTGGTGATAGAGCGTGCCATGATTAATTGTCCCAAAAATATGAGCCCGGTGTATTTAATGCTTTTTGTGTCTATGGTAAAGTCTGCATACGAGCCAAGCTATGTGGCTCATCAGTCCGGCGCTTATCTCCAGTTTCTGTAGCATGAAGAGGCTAGAAGTATTTCTACTCCCTCATGATGGACCATCGCAGGGTTACACCCAGCATTTAATTCGCCGGTGTCCATTTATGCACCTGGAGAGAAGCACTGTAAGAGTAAAGTGTCTTGCCTAAGAACGCGACACAATGTCCCCAGCAGGGACTCGAACCCATACCGCTCGATCCGGAGTCGAACGCACTAACCATGAGGCCATCGCGGGTTTAAAAAGTCAAAACTTTGCAAAGAATGTTTCAGCTCATTGGGGCTTTTTCCATCCAGAGATTTGAAAGTTTTTGGAAGTCCAAATCGCCTTTATTATCTTACCTTTTGATTATAAACTGGGTAAAGTCTTTCATAAGAATGTTCGTGAGCCCATATCATGAGATCAACACCTGTGAAAAGCGCAATAAGATAATAAATTAGTAATCATACTTTATACCTTTCCACACAAACAAGACCGAGGAATATGTGTCGAAATGAGTATTAAACGTTCCTACCATATTTGTAAAGAAGATCCTCCAATCCATATTTTGAATGAAGACCAGTTCGAACCTTAAAGCAAAAAGAGTTTCATATTAAAGCCAATTATACACGGTTCAACATTTGTTGAGCAACAAATGTTGCAGCTGCTGTTCAACAAATGTTGAACAGTGTATCATGTGATGTTGGACGTTGAAATGTGCCGTTAAACATGTTGAAAGTTTTTGAACGTTTTTGAACGAAAACAGAGCTCGGCTCTATTCCGTTCAACAAGTTGCCGTTGGTTGAACGGCTTCAACCAATCGTTTTCGAGTCTAGTGTCACGTGGCCTCGCGGAAATATCAACATGGCGGCCGAAGAGTTGGAATCAGCGGAGTTCGAATGGAGTTTTGATAACACCAGTCAACTGATCAATCTGTACGAGACTTTTCCGTGCCTGTACGATATAAGATCGAAGGATCACAAAAATCGTGACATCCACACTCAGGAAATTTCTGTAGCTTGAAATGTCCAAGTTTCTGAGTTCTGCCAACAGTATATGTAGTATGCTCCGAATATAGTTTTATTTCTTAACCATTCACGCGTCCAAATTTTGCGGTTTTTTGTCTTTTTTTGTCGACGCTTCATAATAACGGCGACAACGCTCGAAGCACAAAGCGACAGCAACATTTCCTCGTCCGCCATTTCAACTTCGCGCCAAAATGGGTAGTTGTTACTCAGCAAAAGTTGAATGAGTGTTCATCAAGTTGCAACAACGTTTCAACAAGCCGCAACAATGTTCAACAATTGTTGATCAACAAAAGTTGAACTGTGTTGAACCGTGTATCATTCGCTTAACATTAACATAACACTAACGTGCTTTCTTGAAGACTTGACAATCGTCTTGTAAAAAAAAATTATTATGAATGGTCTCGGTCAAAAACGCCTACAAGGGTAAAATCAGCGCAGACATCAAGATCAAAACAAAGACCAAATGCAAAAATGAAGTGCGTAATCTCGTGCTATGGCATTTTCGTCCCCAGAGCCCACCATCCTTCTGGCCTGCGGCAGGGATCAAGAGCTCTGGGCTGGTCCAACGCCTGAAGTCCGCGATTCACGGACTTCCCGTCAAATCTGGCAAATCTGATTGGCTGAGAATACGAAACGAATGCTCTGCGCATGTTCAGAAAATCGGGTCCGGCCAGAGTTCTCGATCCCTGCCGCAGGCCAGAAGGATCGTGGGCTCTAGGGACGAGAATGCGTGCTACGTTTAAGGTGGCCGAACACAGTTTTCGCGCAAAAATGCCGTCAATAGAGCGATCATTTTATTTACTCAACACCCGCAGTATCTGTGGTATTTTTCTCTATAATTGAACGCAGCGTAGTTAAATTAGCAAAATGGTGTTAACTTGTGAGAATCGTTACAAGCTTGTTTTATGCAAATTATAAAGAAATCTAATGACTAGATTTTCTACAAATAAACAAAACCGATTTTAAAGGCCTGTTCATTTTTATTCATGTTGCCATGGCAACGGCACATACGTCGGCTTAACCATCAAAAAACCAAAGTTTGTGTTGTTAACTTGCTTGCAGCCATTTTTGATGACCGAGAGATCAAGGGTTTTAGAGAAAAAGGTGAATGAAACACAGGTATCAAAAATTGTGTTCAGCCACCTTAAATGTTGTTTTTCCCGAGAGATTCCAGTTGGCACGCTATTCAATGACGGCTAGTTATATAAAAATATAAAAATAAAAACATTAGTCTTTTCACAGTGTAAAAAACTTGTCTTTTTGTTTGATGTCAAGGACCCTCATCGCGCAGTCATCAAACAAATGCAGAAAAAATGTCAAGTGTTCATGGTTTGGGTGTCCTTACTATAAAAATAACGTGAAACCTGAAGCCGTTGGTTTGATACTGTGTGAAGCAGAAATGCTAACAGATCTCGAAAGCCGTAAAGAGTGTTTTGGTCAATACTACGGAAAAGACGGCCACAACATGGTATCTATAATTGCCATACCCAAATTCGTAATTAGCCAATTAGAAACCATGTCTGCTATCTTGATAACCTGCGACTGACCTGATATGGCTACGATACCATAATCACTTGGCGAAATTTGGGCACGGTAAATAACTAGTCGTATCTACGGTGGCATATCTGACTCGTTTGGATTTGCCACGGGTATTTTGTCACAAAATACGAGCCATGGATCGACCAAAATCACCTGATTTGCCGCGCCGAAGCATACCGACAAGGTAGACTGTTCACAGCCTCTCTATTTACGCAAGCGAAAGAAAAAGCGAGCGAAGCGAGCGCGAAGCACGCGGGGGTGGGGGGTGGGGTTTGCGAGCGAAGCGAGACCTCTGGCAAAAAGTGGACTTATTAGGCTCCTCCCCCTGTTAGCACCTTGTTACTTACAGCTCCACCCCTTGACCAATTAAAGAAATCGGATNGATCAAGGGTTTTAGAGAAAAAGGTGAATGAAACACAGGTATCAAAAACTGTGTTCAGCCACCTTAAGGTGGTATGGTATCGCAAAATGGACCAAAAAGTTTTTTCTAAATATGGTGAAGGAAGATTAATTGTGTGCTATTGCACTCAGGAAGAGAAATCAAATTTTGAGAATTTTACTCAAAATGGTTGCTATGGAAACCAGCCACAGCCTTTTGAGGTAGTGTTTTACAGTATTGACGCCCAACACTTCCTGCTCTTTTACAAAACAAGATTTGACTGTCAAATAAGCATATCGCGTAAGTTTCTGTTTTGTTCTGTGTAATGAACCTAAGTTTTGACAGTTAACTCTTATTTTCAGTGCTTTTTACAGGCTTTATTTGGACATAACCTTTTTTTATACACACCCAGTGGACAAATCATCTCATGTCACGTGACAGACGTTAAAATGTTACGATTTTTTTGGTTAATATCATCAAGACACTATTGGTCTTTGATGAGCCCAAGTTTCAGGCATTCTACTTAAAAACCTTGAAAATTAGAAATGTTGGCGCGAAGTCAGTCGGTACAAAAGAAAACATTTGAGAAAAATGCTCTTTAAGTTTCTTACACGAAGTATTAAGCATTTAACAAGCCACAAATAACCGGGGAGGGTGCAGATTGGATCTCGGGGGACGGGGTGTAATGATTGTTCTAGTCCTTATCTTATCTTGTCTTATCTTAGTTTGTAAAAAGTTACCGCAGTTGTGGGAAATATTCCTTTTCTTATAAAGGGAAGTGAATGAGCCTGTGATGGCAATTCGAGGCAAAGCTTTTCGCAACTAATTACACCAATCGAGTTGTGCATGTCTTCAAAGTTTTTTCTAAATAGTTTCGTTCATATATGTTAAAACTAAACTATGTTTCTGGTCACGTTCTTATAGTGAACAGTCGTTGCTATCGCCGTTGCTACGTGAAAAAACTTATACCACTGTGTACTTTCCTTAAATTTCACACTCACCTAAAAGAAAATTCGGCAAGATCGTTTCAGAATGTTTTTGATAAGTCCTCGAGGGTCTTAAGTCTGATATTTCCAAGAAATTGAATTTTTCATGAATATCGCCATATTTTAGGGTACCATACCCCCTTAATAGAGGTGTCCGCTGAATAGGGGTTCGTTATAAAAGGAAATATAACACGTTGATTTCGGGACCAGGCTAAGTGTCCGCTTAATTGGGGGTCCGCTTAATAGAGGTTTCACTGTACTGTAATTGTTTTAGTGTAAATCTACTAGTTGTTCAAAAATATATACCTAATCCTCTTCACAGACACTTCTAAAACGCCAAGAAGCGGCCGTCATTTTGTTAACAAGGACACACTGCTACGCTACTCAACTATCTATCACAGAATAGATAGAGAGCAGCGTAGCCAATCAGAGAACGGCATTCGTGACAGAACGCTACTAGATTTATACTAAAGGCATTTAGTATCACCCAACTAGTGGACTAATGCAAATCCTGCATTTTGATTGGCTACGCTACTAGGGGACTATTAGTAATAGTCATCGAGTAGCGAAATT